AAGGGGCCGCATAACCGTGCACTCCAGTCAGACCAACGTGTGGTACACGCAACCGAGGAAAACCACGGGAGTACTGTGCTAAAGCGTTCGAACGAAACGTGGTGGAATTAACGTACCGGGCTACACCGGCCAGACAAAAACGTCTGGGTACGAACGTGCCGGCTATACCAGCCGGACGAAATGTCTGGGAACAAATGTACCGGGCTACACCAGACAGTCGACAACGTCTGGGTACAAACGTGCCGGCTAAACCGGCCAGGCGAAAACATCTGGGTACGAACGTGCCGGGCTAAACCGGCCAGACGAGACGTCTGGAGACAAACATACCTGCAGGTATGTTACCATACCTACCATACAAACATACCTGATGAACGCAAAACACGCCTGAGCGCGCCCTGGCTCACCAAGACACCCCCAAACAGAACAGGGGACCATAGAACAGAACGGACCATAGAACGGTGGATAGCCTGGGCCAAAACAGCAGGGGACGGGGAGGCACGCGGCTAAGCCCAACCTGACGTCGAGGCAGCCCCTAGGCAAAGAAGCCTCAGCGCCTGCCGACCGAGACACCGCCGCCAGGCGTGGGCATCTCCAGCCCGTGGGCGTGAGGCAGGCCCCCCACAAGTGGGCACGCCCGGGTACGACATGAATGCAGACAGACCCCCGCCCCGGGGAAGGCCACGCCGCTAATCCGCGTGGCTTAGCACCCAAGAGGGACAGGAAGGAAGCGAGACACAACCCAGGGCAAGCGCTCCTCTGAGCGCCCTGGCACGAGGGCGACACCGACCGGGCATGGGCCCCAAAGGTCGGGCCCAAGGAGCATAGGACCACTGCAACCTGACCACGTGGCGCCCCCGCCAAGGGCCTACCTTGAGGTGCTTCCGGGGCTTAGCGTCCCCGCGGCCCGGTCGCCGGCCAAGCCTCCTGGTAGCCGGACTGATCAACCAGGCTGTTGGACGCGGCTGCTCGCAGCCTGACGTATGAGGCACAGCCTGGTTGATCAGGTATCCTTTGGAGGCCGCGAGGCCGCTCACAGGGAGCCCGCCGTTCACGCACGTCCGGGCACGGCACGCACCATGGCCCTTGGCATAGGACCACAGCAACCTGACCACGTGGGGGCGACTCCAAGGGCGACGCCGGGCCGCTCGCAGGGGGCCCGGCCAGGCACGCACGTCCAAGCGGGGCACGAACCGGGGTCCCTAGACGCACGCCTAGGGGCCCACAGCTGACCAGTGCCCATAGTGCACGCCTTCGAGAATACACTACCAGGGCATTACTTGCATAATGCTAGGAAGCTTTGGGTAATTAAACGGACCACCCTAAATGGCCTTCCTTCCTTTCTTACCTCTGGTGTTGTTTACCATGCTGAGGACCTCACTCTGCTGTCGGCGTCTAGGCCTATAAGCTCTGTACTATATAACCTGTCCGTATGCAGGCGAGGAGTCACAATAACGTGGCTAAAGTATGTTGACCAGACTACATACTAGAAGGTGAAGGGACGGCGACGTTTCGGTCCGTCCTGGACCATTCTCAAGTCGATTGAGAATGGTCCAGGACGGACCAAAACGTCGTCGTCCCTTCACCTTCTAGTGTGTGGTCTGGTCATCATAACCTGTCCGTGTTTAATAGTTTGGTACAGTACTGTATTGCTATTTACCTTCTGAGAATGGTGGGGTTCAGTTGAACATGTGCCATTGTTTTCTTTTCACTACATCGCAAGCTATCCTCCCCCGCGATAGCAGCTTGACGATTAAATGCGACCTCGAAACACTGAAAAGAATTACTGAACAAAAAAAATTTACCACTTACGGGTTATTCATGCCCGTGCCACCTCTTGGGTGGCTTAATCTTTATCAATCAATCAATCAATCTGTACTAGATGACAAGTCTATATTGTCCAGGCCCAGGATTCATAAGCATTTATGCAAACGCTAATATTAAGCAGCGTATGAGCTTGGAAACTTCACAACCCAAGGTTATTATTGTAATAAACGTCCTCTGAGCGCTTCGGAGCAAAAACAAAATCTGCTTGATAAATGTAAACAAAGCCGCCATGATTGAGGAAAGATGTACAGGTTTCGTAAGTGGTTGTGTAAATGCTTGATTAATCCTGGTGGTTGGGGCAGTCCAGAAAGATTAACTGAAGTAAACAAGTCTTTATTATACACTTAAAAGATAAGACTAGAAAGAGCTTGATTAAATAAGATAACGAAATACGCAATTATATAATTATATAATAATTTTTATTTTAAAATAATTGTTTTATTTTAAATATTAATAACTCACTCGTAACTCGCTAACAAAACGTAACCTAACTAAATCTATACTAAACAAACTTTAATCTAACAAAACCTAACTACCTGTAGTAGGGAAGGGAAGGCAACTAGTAGGAGAAAGCGACAAGCCATTATGACTGTATAGCACTTGGGAGGGGTCAGGATTTGGGATGGGATGATGCCCAACCAGACTCTTGATGCCCAATGATGATGCCCAACCAGAATCTTGTTTGCAGTAGATTTGTTTGATTAGTTACCAAATCGACCGCAACTAACATAATCTACTACTGGTCGGGGCAGTTAGACAGTCGGGGATTGAACGCCGACCTGCACGATGCGAGACCGTCGCTCCACCGTCCACCTCAAGTGGTTGGTAACTACTACCAGTAGTAGATTATGTTAGTTGCGGTCGATTTGGTAACTAATCTAACAAATCTACTGCAAACAAGAGTGACTACCAAAGAATGACTTGTTGTAAATAGTCCCTCTTATTTTGTTTGTTATATATATATTTTTTTCAAGGGACATTTCAGCGCGGACCAAAAGCATTTGGTTGGCCCATTGTTACTCATTACCCATTGTTACTCATTACCCATTGTTACTCATTACCCATTGTTACTCATTACCCATTGTTACTCATTACCCATTGTTACTCATTACCCATTGTTACCATTACTCACTGGTGATGGTCTGGTTGTGGGAAGAGATTATATGTTCCTTGATGGAGCCCTGTTGCTTATGCATTGTTAATCGTCTGGAAAGAGATGTTGTCGTGCCTATATACTGATGAGTATTTATGACTTCTTTGTTGGCTTCAGTAAGATTATGTCGAATGTGTTTATCAACTTCCTCTGCCCTGTTAATTCTCAGTTCATATCTTACTGAGTTTGCAACTCTGAGATGTGTTAGATAATGGCTCAGTTGGGGTCTCTGGTGAAACAGGAAGAACTATGCAGTATACAGTAATCTGAAATTGACGTGTCTTGGGCGGTATTTCTTGTAAGCAATTATCGTGTAATAATCAAGCAGTTTAAGTTTCAGAGCAAAGTAGACTGTCTACGCTATACGAATGTGAAGAAATATACTTGCTATTCCTTATGGCTGGTAAGAAGAGAAAGTCTTGCTGCTAACTCCTTGAGGTGCTTACTGGGCCACGCTAACCTGATCAAATTCTATGATCAGACGCCTTAAAGCGTTCAACCGATTGCATTTCTTGTCAGAAAGCCTTCGGCACAATACCCCACAAAAGGCTAAGTTTGCAAACTGAAGAAACATGCAGGAAAGACAGCTACTTCATGACTGTAGATGAAGTAGTACCTATGTAACAGAATACAAAGTCACAGTGAAAGGGAAAAAACTTCAGAGTAGTGAGATGTCCACCAGTGATGTCCCTCAAGGGTCAGTACTCATATCCATCCTCTTCTTATATATATATATATATATATGTTGTTTATATATAATTATATATATATATATATATATATATATATATATATATATATATATATATATATATATATATATATATATTAAATATGGCCGAAAAAGTAAGATTAATAATTCTAACACGAATGATTTTTCAGTTACCATCAACAGTGAAAAGAAATCTAAGAAATATAGAGAAAATTCGTGTTAGAATTATTAAATTATTAATATATATATATATATATATATATATATATATATATATATATATATATATATATATATATATATATATATATTGTAAATTATAATCTTCCAAAAGGGATTAACTCATCTCTCTCTATAGCAATACATGATCCACAAGATCTCAGTGACTGGACCTTATCGTTCTACCAGCACGGTAGACCATTGATATAGTGCTTAACAAACTGGTATTTATCATTGGTATATGGCCACGCAGAACCCTCTGGAAGCCGCCTCGGCTAGGCCGTGATAATGGAGCTGAGGGCAAGATGGCCATCACGGTCAACAGTCTTATAACATGCAGGTTGCTAAGATGCTGCTTCTTCTTGATCCACGTGTAACCGGCGCCATTGTCTTCCATTGTAAAACTGACGTTATATCTTGCAGGCATTAACTCGATGCTCGTTGAGCTTACCAGTTAATTACTCTGACGATAGACCTCGGGGTTAAATACTGTAGTGATATAATGAGACAATCTCCGGTGTAATGGGAACGAGTCGGTTGTATCCACGTGAATCTGTCTGTTTTATTGTGAAACTTTCCACAGTATTGGTGACTTCGGTTGACACGAGTAGCCGGGGCGGTAGCCAATCAACTCACAGTAGCTGAGGCGTCAGCCAATCAGAGCCCTGGAAATTGTGGGCTCGTCGCTGACGTCACGGGACGGGCCCGAGAATTACAATACCCATAACTTTATTTACCTGTATGTATATGGCGATCAATATCGCAACGTATAGCAACACTAAGGTTACAGTCTACAGATTATCGTGTCAATACGCATCCCACGAGGCGTAATCACGCAGCTAAGATCAATAAATTGTAAACACTTGTCTAGAGACATGTAGCATCTTATTGGGAATGTTAAGGGAGGTGGTGGTGGTCACCGGCCTTAGTGTCTAGCGGGGAATTATCTCTGTACGGACTATTGTCCACCTGTGTGTGTGACACCTGTTGGCTCCCCTGACCTCTCGGCACTACTACCAGCTGTGTGTACCACCTGTTGGTTCACCTGACCTCTGTATTGCCACCAGCTGTGTGTGTGTGAGACACCTGTTGGCTCGCCTGACCTCGACAGTACTACCAGCTGTGTGTACCACCTGTTGGCTCGCCTGACCTCTGCTACCAGCTGTGTGAGACACCTGTTGGCTCCCCTGACCAGCTGTGTGAGACACCTGTTGGCTCCCCTGACCAGCTGTGTGAGACACCTGTTGGCTCCCCTGACCAGCTGTGTGAGACACCTGTTGGCTCGCCTGACCTCTGTACTGCTACCAGCTGTGTGTGACACCTGTTGGCTCACCTGACCTCAACAGGTGGTGTGAGTGCGGCACTATGGAAGGGCGACAGGTGGTGGCCACCCTGGACGACCTGGTGCAGGAACTCTACCAGGTGTTCGAGGACGACCACGTCAACGTGGAGGTCGTCCAGGACCTCCTCGCCTCCTACAAGTCAAACCCAATTGAGTGGAAGAAGTTCGCTAAGTTTGACCGCTACAGGTAAGTTCAATTGGTTTATATTTTACAATGGAACGTCAAGGTTTATATATTTTACAATGGAACGTCAAGGTTTATATATTTTACAATGGAACGTCAAGGTTATATATTTTACAATGGATCGTAAGTTTTAACGTCAAGGTTATATATTTTACAATGGAACGTCAAGGTTATATATTTTACAATAGAACGTCAAGGTTTATATAATTTACAATGTAACGTCAAGGTTATATATTTCATCATGTAACTATTTTTTTTTGACATGGAAGTTTGCAAGTATATTAATACTTTCTACTTGCAGTTTAGGAAAAATATATAGTTTTGGTAGTATAGTTTCCTGTCAATTCATGGGTGGGAAAGTTTAAATGGCTGAGCATTTTTCCTTTCACCTAATGCACCTGTTTACCTATCAGTGAGTAAGGTACCTTGCAGTCGAGTCAACTGTTGTGGGGTTGCATCCTGGGCGGGAAGGTCAGTAGTTTGACCTTAGTGAAAGGGCCCTCAGTATAAGCCTAAAATATATACATATACATATATATACACTGGCTTCTTGAGGTGGAGTCCCTTGATTGTTTCAAGCGTGGGTTGGACATGTATATGAGTGGGATTGGGTGATTATAAATAGGAGCTGCCTCGTATGGGCCAATAGGCCTTCTGCAGTTATCTTTATTCTTATGTTGTCCGCAACAACGGGAATTAATAATTTGTATAACCTTTTCAAGTAATAGTCGGAATATACAGTAATTATCTGTATATATATTTTTCTTTACAAAAAGGTACACACATATTTTGTAAAAAAAAAGTTGTATATATGTTTTTCTTTACAAAAAGGTACACACATATTTTGTAAAAAAAAAGTTGTATATATATTTTTCTTTACAAAAAGGTACACACATATTTTGTAAAAAAAAAGTTGTATATATATTTTTCTTTTTCAAAAAGGTACACACATATTTTGTAAAAAAAAAGTTGTATATATATTTTTCTTTACAAAAAGGTACACACATATTTTGTAAAAAAAAGTTTTATATATATTTTTCTTTACAAAAAGGTACACACATATTTTGTAAAAAAAAGTTTTATATATATTTTTCTTTACAAAAAGGTACACACATATTTTGTAAAAAAAAAGTTGTATACTGTATATGTTTTTCTTTACAAAAAGGTACACACATATTTTGTAAAAAAAAAGTTGTATATATATTTTTCTTTTTCAAAAAGGTACACACATATTTTGTAAAAAAAAAAGTTGATTCCAAAAAAAGTTGCACACTAGAATATGTGTGATAACATCACTGGAGCCGGACGGGGGGATTCATAGTGTTTTGGTGCATAGTTAAAAATAAATCAGTCTAAGTTGAGTGATAAGTTAGACGTGTGTAAGTTGCCGGAAAGTCGGCAATAGGTTGGTTGTAACTTAACTCAGTCGTTTGGTTCTGATGCATATCTTAATAATTTGTTTATATTAAATACAGTATTACTATTGTTGACCAAACCACACACTAGAAAGTGAAGGGACGACGACGACGTTTCGGTCCGTCCAGGACCATTCTCAAGTCGATTTTTGACTTATCGATATATCAGCCACGTTATTGTGATTCCTCGTCTGCACAGTATTACTATTGATAACTCAGCGTTACTGAGGACCTGTGAGTAGCCCACACCATTTAGATAACTGATCATACTAAATATTATTATCGACAAACTAAATAAATAAGCGTTATTTAGGACCTATGTGTAGCCCACATAATTTTGATGACTGCTATGACAACGGCGCTGAAGAATATTTCCTTGTCAGCCTATAGTCTGCAAATTTCAATGTCGCTATCAGTTTGTTGAGCCTAAGGCGTATGGTTCATATGTAAGGAGGGGTGGGGGGCTAATAAGGAAGAAATAAGTTCACCACAAGAAAATACAACCAGTAAGTATAGTTCTAAATACACCGAGATCCGGAATATTCTTCTCTTTGTATAATAATGTGGCAATTGGCTTTAATATTTATAAATAAAGTCAAAATGTCGGAAATATCATGGAAATTCACGAGCAGCCATTCTGGCGAGCTGAGAATATCATAACTCGTGTTACGTAGCCTAACACTGTGTGCGGGGGTGGGGGGGCGTGTTACGCTAGGCTGTTGGGCTTCTTTTTGTTGCCTCTCTGGCTGGTGGCCAGTGCTTTTACCTTACCAAAACGTACCATCCCATATAATCTAATTACCCAGGTACTCATGTCCAAAAAATCGTAATGTAGGCCTATATATCCCATTGTTTATGGTGATGCTGTTTCCGGCGCTTCTCCACTTCCAATTAATCAATGTTTATTCCAAAGAATGTGTGCACAAAGAACATAAGAGTAATATTCAGTTGTAGGGGGGCAGGAGTTACACATACTAACGAAGGCACTATTACACCTTGCTAGGGCCTGTGTCCGGGGCTCCTGCTGGGGCTGTGGGCTTTGATACCTGTGGCTCCTCAGGCTGCCCTGATGGGTGTGCCTAGGAGTGCTTTTAGATGGATTTGAGGTAGAAGTGTGCAAACAGGAACCGGTATATCAAGTGTTTATCAATTAAATGATAAACAAAACACCGTAGCAGTACCCGTGGTGTAGTGGTAAGACACTCGTCTGGCGTTTCACAAGCTCCTTGTCCTGGGTTCGTATGTCCTGGGCGGGGTAGGATTTATTGGCCGCTAATCCTTAATTGTAAAGTAAAGGATTGGCGCTTAATTTAGCCTTAATTTAGGTAAACAAGCCTCCCAACAGTAAAATAGGTACCTGGTTTTAAACGATTTGGCGGGTCGTATTCCGGGGAACATAGGATTAAGGACCTGCCCGAAATGCTATGCATGCTTGTGGCTGAACAAGAATGTAAGAACTCTTGTATATAAAATAATAATAAAAAATGCACTTGAATGGGGGCAAGTAACATCAGTAGACTGACAAATGTTGTCACAACTCGAATACGACTTGGCTCTCAGTATCTCTGGTTGTTCAGCTTGAGGGGATTTAGATGACATGAAGGGTAAAGTGTGAGGACAAAAACAGGGACACAATAGTTAATTACATTTTATATTGGGAAAACCCCACTTCGTCTGGCGCCCTCAGCTGGCACGGACTAGGGGAATCCGACTATATATACATATGTATATATTATATATATATATATATATATATATATATATATATATATATATATATATATATATACTGAAAACTCACACCCCAGAAGTGACTCGAACCCAAACTCCCACAACTGGTATGTACAGGGACGCCTTAATCCGCTTGACCATCACGACCGGACATAAGGAAGTGATAGCCGAGGCTATATGAACCACTTCCCCGCCGGCACTCGGATGGTAATCTTGGGCATAGCATTTTATCAAATCACCTCATTCTTTGGGGCACACGTGAGGAACACAAATGCAAACAAGCCTGAATGGTCCCCAGGACTATATACAACTGAAAACTCACACCCCAGAAGTGACTCGAACCCATACTCCCACAACTGGTATGTACAGGGACGCCTTAATCCGCTTGACCATCACGACCGGACATAAGGAAGTGATAGCCGAGGCTATATGAACCACTTCCCCGCCGGCACTCGGATGGTAATCTTGGGCATAGCATTTTATCAAATCACCTCATTCTTTGGGGCACACGTGAGGAACACAAATGCAAACAAGCCTGAATGGTCCCCAGGACTATATACAACTGAAAACTCACACCCCAGAAGTGACTCGAACCCATACTCCCACAACTGGTATGTACAGGGACGCCTTAATCCGCTTGACCATCACGACCGGACATAAGGAAGTGATAGCCGAGGCTATATGAACCACTTCCCCGCCGGCACTCGGATGGTAATCTTGGGCATAGCATTTTATCAAATCACCTCATTCTTTGGGGCACACGTGAGGAACACAAATGCAAACAAGCCTGAATGGTCCCCAGGACTATATACAACTGAAAACTCACACCCCAGAAGTGACTCGAACCCATACTCCCACAACTGGGAGTATGTTCCTCACGTGTTCCTCACGTGTGTCCTTGTGTTCCTCACGTGTGCCCCAAAGAATGAGGTGATTTGATAAAATGCTATGCCCAAGATTACCATCCGAGTGCCGGCGGGGAAGTGGTTCATATAGCCTCGGCTATCACTTCCTTATGTCCGGTCGTGATGGTCAAGCGGATTAAGGCGTCCCTGTACATACCAGTTGTGGGAGTATGGGTTCGAGTCACTTCTGGGGTGTGAGTTTTCAGTTGTATATAGTCCTGGGGACCATTCAGGCTTGTTTGCATTTGTGTTCCTCACGTGTGCCCCAAAGAATGAGGTGATTTGATAAAATGCTATGCCCAAGATTACCATCCGAGTGCCGGCGGGGAAGTGGTTCATATAGCCTCGGCTATCACTTCCTTATGTCCGGTCGTGATGGTCAAGCGGATTAAGGCGTCCCTGTACATACCAGTTGTGGGAGTATGGGTTCGAGTCACTTCTGGGGTGTGAGTTTTCAGTTGTATATAGTCCTGGGGACCATTCAGGCTTGTTTGCATATATATATATATATATATATATATATATATATATATATATATATATATATATATATATATATATATATATATATATATGACAGTGTCAGACCACGGAGGAAAATTGAAACAGGAATTTCCTTAAGTACTTTAATATACGAAAGTACTTAAGGAAATTCCTGTTTCATTTTTCCTCCGTGGTCTGACATTGTCACATTTTTAATGACGTGTTTATTTTCGTGAGACACACACACACACACACACACACACATATATATATATATATATATATATATAT